GGGAGGCAGACCGGCCGGCCGGGGTTCGGGGTCCGGGCCCGTCGCTTGGGTGTTAGCGACCTGATGTCCTCCGTGAGCTCTCCGGGGACCCCGAGGTGGGAACCCGCCGAGTGCACCCGCTGCTCCCTGGGGGGCGCTGGCCCACGTTTCAGGTCTCAGGCTGCTTGTTTCATTTTGCAGGATTTCTGGACCACCGGCCTCCCGCCCCTCCCCGGGGCTGTGTAACAGATTCACCAGGCTGGGCCTCTGCCAGTTTAAACTGCCAAGTGCAGGCGGCACCCGAGTAGCAACACCTGCCTAGACAGCAGCCCAGGGTCCACCGACACCCGAACCGGGGTTCAGTGGGCTCTTTAGGGCTAGGTCCCACATTTCCTCTGACTTGGGATCTTCCTGTATCATTTGAACATTTATCTAGATATGTTGAGCTCTCATAGCCGCCCGCATGCACATTTGGAAATCCTTGTAAGGATTTCCTGTAGAATAAGAAAGTAATTTGTAGTGTGAAGAACTTTGAAACAGGTGACCTGGATGAGTGTGTGTCACTGGCCAGGTCTGTGGCCTCAGAAACAGGCACGAGCCTGGGTACGCACACCTGCACACACCCATGCACACAACATTGTATTTACAGTGTCATAGGTGCAAGCTGAGGCCTCCCGAGGTTCATTGTTTCTGGCCCTCAGGTTAAGAGCCCGCACAGCGCTACTCTTGTTCTATTTTAAGACGTCTTCCGGTGAATCGAAACACTTATCTTTGGTCTGACACGCAAAGGAGTGGCAGCAGCACTGGAGGCTGAGAGCTTTCTCTCCGGTCAGCTTTCACTGCAGATATTTTGGGTTATGATGTCTGGCACTTGGCCCTTTCTGTGTGTACTGAATCCACCATTACTTGGAAATGGGGAAGTTCAGTTTCAAATTCAAGGTACTGGACACCCTCAGCTCTAAGGAGGAAAGGTTTATCCTGGCTTATAGTTTGTAGAAGTTGCAGCCTGTACTCCACCGGTTCCAAAGCAGGGCAGCATTGCAGAGGGGAAACAGTTCATGGCATGGCAGGCAGGAGGCAGAGAGAGATCAAGGGAGGAGGAGGGAGACAGACCTTTCCAGGCCACGCCCCAGTGACCACCTCCTCCCGCCAGTCTTCACCCCTCAACATCATGTTTAGGCATCAAACGCATCAATGGACCAACCCACTCTCTCCTGATAGTGGACTCCCACGATCCAGTCTGCTCCCCAAGCCCTGTCCATGAGCTTCGGTGGGACAGCTGGATGGAAGCTAATACAGGGTACTAACAGCGACATTAACCTGGAGTTTACAAGCTGCCTCCCCTCCTAGGGCTCTCTTTACTCTTAGGAAGTCACTTCACCCCTACAGTGGGCGGTGTTATTCTCCCCGTGCTGTGGAAGGAGGAGGCCAGCGTTTCCAGGCTGGCCTGGGAGGTGGTGAGCTGGTGAGCTGGTGGCACGCCCGCTGGAAGTCAGGCGGTCTTCACTGCCAACTTCCTTATTTGGCTTTGGGTGCTGCTTACTACACTTTACGTTCTACAAAGCATATGTCTTATGTTCACGTAAAAAAGACATGCACTGTGCAGAAGGCAACTCTGCGATGATTCTGAACCATTTGTCATCTCTGCTTTGTGTGCTGCACTCTAAACGTTAGGGTGCTTTCTAATTGTGGAATGAAAGAAGTTACTCTTGGCGGATGTGTGCCAGGGGTGACTAAGAACTGAGCCGTTGACTATCGTGACTGTTATGTCTGTTCCCACCTGCATCTTTCATCTGCCACTGCTTGAGTGTGAACTGTGTTATAAAATTATAATAGTGTTGGCAAAGAACAGCCAAACAGATAACGTGTTTCTCTACCTTTACAAATAGACTGTTTCCACTTTATTTTTCCAGCTGCGGGATTTATTCAGTTTTGTCATCTTTGTGTAGATAGAAGTTTGTGTTGTACTTGTTCCTTCTGGTATAGTATAGGCTTTGTCATTTCAGACATAAAGTTAAAAAAACCTGTGCATATGCATTTTAACAGTTTATTTTGAAGGTCACTCAACGAAGGCACTGAGAAAAAAATATACAGAATAGGCTCCTTGAATATGTAAAGTGATTGACTCAAAATGTTCTTTTGTAACTCTGGAAATTAGTTGTTTCCTAGCGGTTCTTATACTTCTGAAAAGGGGGGAAAATTATAGTGATTAAATCTGCCTTTTCATCTTGTAAACCTACAAGAACGAGTGAAAATATTTCAGCTACAACAAGTTAAAACTGATATCTGAGAAGGCATCCAAATCACTGAGTTGACACGGAAATGACACAAAAGCAAACTCGGTGGGGGTCCCAGGAGCTCAGAGTCGCTGTGCAGCTCCGCAGGTGTCCAGATCGATGCAGCTTTGGTTTGCCGACTCTACGTTTAGAACCATGCTTCCGTTTCATAGAGTACTTCTGAGAAGGAGAAGGTGTCACCACATTTCAACTGCTCGCCACAGTGCCCGGCACATAATAAATACTTAATGGAGAGAGGTATGACTACGACTATGTGTGTCAGCATTTCCTTCAACATAGAAACCTTTCCCACGATGGTTAATAAGCGGGGATGCTGTCAGGTGGTTTGGCTTCTCCCTGAAGCCAATGCAAACATCTTTAACAAGTGCTTCCTGTAATGCAATTGAGGCCGTGTGCTGGCGTATGTTAGAAGGTATATATCTATTCAATAGCTTTAAGAACCTCTGGGAACTCCTATTTTTGGCATACTGCTATTGTTAAATATTTATGTTCTTTCTGAGGGGTAAAGTTACATAAAAACTGAGATATTCCTGTGCTGGCTCTGCAGTGTTCTGGTTGCGTGATCTTGACAAGCAACATTGTGTTTTCATATCATTTGTTCTGTGAGAGGCGTGTAAATGGGTTCCCAGGCCTTCAGTTCTGGCGGAGACTTGCTGTGCAGACAGCGTCACGACGCGGGCCTCTCAGAAGGATGTGCCTGTGTACCGCGTTCAGTAGTCACGCTAATACTGACCTCGTCCGACCTGACCTACATAAGTCCATTTCTTGCTCTTGTTCTCTGCATTTTCATCTCTCACAAGGAAGATGTTTAACTTCAGGGTGCAAGAACATGGAAATTACTAAGGGTTTCCTCCATCCCGGAGAGGAGCAGCTGTTTCTGTGCTTACTGTAAATATCTACATGGGAATTCCAAAAGAATTAGATGTATCAACGTTGTTTTGTAATCCACAGGGCAAACTTGTTGTTTTTAAATGTTTCTGTTAGGACGCCTTTTCAGCGCGTAACGACCACGTTCGTGGTGGGGGGTCGGTACATGGACCTGACACATCTTGATTACTTTTTCACCCCTTTATCCTCTCTTTGGTCCTCCCTCCCTCCTTGTTTTGGTTCCCTGCCCATTTGCAAAAGATCTCTGTTCCCTGTTTCCTATGACCTCTCTTTTATTTTGCTCTTTTTTTGATTTATACTTTGGGTTTCTCACGTGAGAGAGACCGTGTGACATGGTCTCCAGGTGCGTCCATTTTCCTACCTTCTCGGCAGAGCAGGACTCTGTTGTGCATGAACACCACATCTTCTTTATCACTTGTCTTCCACAGGACAGTTTTGGCACGTGACTGACCTACACTTGGACCCCACTTACCACGTCACAGATGACCACACCAAGGTGTGCAATTCGTCCAAAGGCGCCAACGCCTCCAACCCGGGCCCCTTCGGAGATGTCCTGTGTGACGCTCCGTATCGGCTCATTTCGTCAGCTTTTGACTTTATTAAGAATTCAGGGCAAGAAGCGTCTTTCATGATCTGGACAGGGTAAGTCACTCTGCAAACACTTGGGTTACCTAGCATTTACCCATGGTACCCCGAGCTTCCTCAGAATGCTGTATTGTATGAGAAGAGTAATTGTGTTTGAAGAGTTACTTGGTTAAAAAATATTAGGTCAGTTTTCAAGGTCCTGGTGTTTTTGTTTGTTTTTTCTAATGTAGACATTAAAAATTTGTTGTTAATGCCCAGAGGATTCTATTAATAGCACCCTTGCACTGAGGTCTTGAGGGGTTTACTAATGTCATAACTGATCGTGATTAAAGGCTCAGGGGAAAGGAGACAGTGGGGTGGGCCTAGGGGGACACTTTTGTGAACTGCCCTTTTCTGGTGGGCTGATTAGTCCTGCCTGTTACCCTAGAGGGGAGAGAGAGAGGCTTATATTTTTAGTTCCTGGGGAAATGACTGTGGTTTATTCTTGTAGAGTGTTAACTTCATGCTGTATATTCTTTTAGTTAATTTATACATTGCACCTTAATCTTTACAAGTATTACTGCTGCTCACATTTTACAGGAAGCACTGAGCATCTAAATAACCTGCCCAAGTGTACACAGCTAGGAGTAGCTAGACTGGCTTTAGCATCCAGGTCTTTGGCTCTGGAATCTGTGCTTTACTAATACAGTACATTTTTGTTGCACGTAAAACTTTAGTCAGACAATGAAATAGACTGGGATCCCCAGTTTATTTTTTTGTATTGTGTTTTCTTTGGACAGGGTCTCACTATGTTATCTAGGCTGTTCTCAAACTCCTGGGCTTAAGTGATTCTCCTGCCTCAGCCTCCTGAGCAGCTGAGCTCACAGGCGTGGGGTGCCGTGCCCTGTTGCTCATCAGCTCTCACTGCTGCTGGCTGCTTTAAAGTACAAGTGAGCAGTGATCAGTGCATCAGGGTCTGCGTCTGAGGGCCCTTTAGAAAGAGGGATTCTGTGCTTGACAGTTGTGCCTCCTTTCCAGTGACAGCCCACCGCACGTTCCAGTCTCCGAACTGTCCACAGACACTGTCATAAAGGTGATCGCCAACATGACGGTGACCATCCAGAGCTTCTTCCCAGACCTCCAGGTGTTCCCCTCTCTGGGCAACCATGACTACTGGCCACAGGTGGGCTTGACATCACCTTCCAGAAGGACTTAGAGAATTGCTCCTGGGAGTGCTGTTGGTTTCCACCAGTAACTCTGCAACTGTGTAGATAGGGTCGGCTCTGAATGATAACCTCTGGGCAAGGAGAGACAGTGGCCTTGGGGCCTTTAGAAGGGTATTTAAACTAATGAATAAAAAGTCCCTTCAGAAGCAAATTATCCATGTGTTGTGGTTAACTCCTGTTTTCCAGTATAGTCTTCAGTTTCTCCTTTCTTTTGAATACTTTCTTGCTTATTGCATTTCCATGACAGGGTTAGCAAGGAACAGCAGTGTTGACAGATGTTTACATTTTCCAGAATGGCTCACAAAGAGCTGGTACTCTGATAAAAGCTAATTTGTGGTTAAAAACAAAAAATGTAGCAAACTACAGTAGGAGGCAAAGAGGGGGAGTGAATGTTTGCATCCAGTTAATCTCATTAAACTGTTACTCAAGCAGAAACTGTTCAAAATATTTAACACCTGTCATGGGTCTGGCTCCTGCCAGTCAGGCGGTCCTTTGTTAAGCTACCTGTGCGTAACAGCTGCACTCCAGTTGTGACAGGGTCCTGTTTCCAGAGCGTAGAATTGTAGATTTGTGTAGATTCAAGAGATCCCAGAGAATGCTATTTAGTTCAAGGCCTGGCACACTGCGGTTTTTGGTTCCAATTTGGCCTGTTGCCTGTGCTTGTAAATAAAGTCTTGTGGACACACTGCATTTCCGTTCTGTGGCTGCACCTGTGCTACATGTAGAACAGTTGGCACAAAGACCAGTGGTCCGCAGCCCTGAGGGACGCACCACCCTTCTCTCCATGGATGACTTTGCCACCCCAGTCTGGACCCACCTTCCTTTTATCAATGAGGAAACTGGGGGCCGGAAATGCTGAGTAGCCGGTCCAGCGCTCACAGACAGTTGGCGGGAAGGCCCATTCCATTCCAGCCCTGTGCTAGTTAGAGCAGCATTCCTTCACACCTCCCGGCCCCAGCGATGGGGTAGTGCCGCGGGCCTTCTCTGCAGGAGGCATTCTCCTTTAGCCCTGTTAGTGCTGGGCGCCCCCTGCTTTGATGGCCTGTCTCAGTGATATTCTCCACCCCCACCCCTGGCCCTGCTCCTCTGCCCCCAGGACCTCCGTGGTAGCACTGGCCCAGTGTCCTATGATATCTATGTTTTGTCCCCCTGTCCCCAACTAAGCTCAAAATTCCTTGACATATAAGTCGTCATGCTTTATCTCCAGATGTTCAGTAGAATAGTCAGCGTGAAGGGAGGCTGGCGTTAACTGGTCCACGTGTCTTTAACGTCTCAATGGTGGGTTGTGTTGTTTGCGGCCAGGATCAGCTGCCCGTAGCCACCAGTCAGGTGTACGACGCCGTGGCCTACCTCTGGAAAGCGTGGCTGGATGAAGACGCTCTGAGGACGCTAAGGACGGGTAAGCGGAGGACTTGCTGAGGGCCACCTTTCTGGCTCGTACTATTTCAGTTTCGGTCTTCAGGGTTTGGTTCAGGGGCTGTTGTCAAGCACCTGAGCACTCGATTTTACTGGAGGACAGTGAGTAGTGACATCGCGTGGGACCTGCTTGTCTTGTAGGGAGCCCTCTCCTTTCTTGTTTCACTCTCGGTTGGGATATTCCTCACCGAGCACAAACTGACATCGAATTTGAATGTGAGTAACAGTCCACATTCGGTGGACTTCTCTGGTGCTGATGGAGCCCCCCTCCCGTGCCTCTGGCCCATTCATATACATAAGCCCTTAGCTTCTGAGAGCTCTGCAGGGGGAAATCTGGTCGGTGAGATCTTAGTGCTTTTAAAGTTTTGAGATAGGGCCAGGGATTTAGCTCAGTGGTTCCGGTGCCTGCTTTATAAGCACAAGGACCAGAGTTTGAACCCTGGTACCAAAAATAAAATAAATACATAAAGTTTTGAGATAATTCAATTAATGGCTAGACTTCTCCCCACTCAAAATTCTCCCTTCATTCTTTCCCTTAAACCTCTGGCTTCTGCCACTCCATTGTCTTTTTCGTTGCTAACACAGCACATCAGAGTGCATGTGAATTTGAGATTTGCTATCTCAGAATCAGGCCACGGCTCCGACTCATCTGGGGACCTGTATCTGGTCCCACCTGTCCGAGCCAGAAACTTACACGGAGAGCTTGTGGGCCTCAAAGGAAGAGCTGCAGAACGCAGCCGGGACTCTTTCAGGAGTCACAGTGGGTTTATAGGAGGCCCCGCTCCCTGCAGAGGCAGGCAGAAAACGCTGACCTGGGAGTCCTGGCCCATGTTTCCCAAGTTTCCGCATTCCAGTGAGATTGCCCCCTTTCCAGCTGAACCCTGGAGGATGGGATTCATGCTGAAAAGTGGAAGGGGTCTCTGCTGTCTTAGAAGCAGAGATGGTTTTGAGCAGCGGTGCCGCGCGTCAGGGCTCCGGCTGTGCCCCTCAGAGTCCCCGGGGAGAGCTGCGGCCATCTCTCCAAGGGGTGTCGGGGCCAGCTTGGCGGAGGCAGCCCTGCCACCAGCATGCCCCAGACTCTTCTTGGGTAGTGACGTGGTGAGGAGGACAAGAAATCAGAGAAGCAGCGACCTGTGGTGACGGAAAGTGAGGAAAGGCGTGGCTGGCGAGCTGCCCAGGCCCTGAGCAGGCCCCGGAAGTGAGGGCCGCAGCGGCCCCTGGATGCCCGACACAGTGGGACCAGAGTGGTTCTTGGGTTAGGCTTTATGGCCTCTTTCTGGGCAGGCTGTAGCAGCACTGGTTGGACTGACGTTTGTTCCTCTGTCTCTAGTGAGATAGATCAGTGTGTTCATTAGGCTCTGTCTTATCAACTCCAACCGCGGGTGCAGGGGTTGATGCAGGTACCCTTGTTTTAACGTAAACTTCAGTCTCATTGCTCACTGTCTGAATATCTTATTATCTTTTCATCTGAATATTGGATATAACTGTCATTGTCTCAGTGTGTACACCATGGGAGCTGGCACATGTTAGTAAACGTTTATTAAATTTTGTACTTACCTAAATTCTGAGAAGTAAGTCCATTTTTCCCGACTGCATTGTAAACCTTAAGAATTTGCCTCGACAAGGTCTGAACATAGGTATGTGTGCGTTTCTAAAATGGGCTTTAAAATTGCTTTCTTAGGTGGCTTTTATTCACAGAAAGCCCCGGGTAACCCAAACCTGAGGATTGTCAGTCTGAACACAAACTTGTACTACGCCCCCAATGCCGCAACCTTGAAACAGACGGACCCGGCAAACCAGTTTGTGTGGCTGGAAAACACCCTGAACAGCTCTCAGCACAACGGAGAGAAGGTGGGTAGGTCCCGCAGACCAAAGCCATGAGAGTATTTATAGAATTCAGGATAGAATCCGTTATTCAAGAAAGAAAAATAATACAATTTGGAAGATGTAAAAAGTTGTGACCAAGATCTCAGTTACTTTATATCAACACAAGTGTAGTATAAATGAAACGAGTGCAAATATAGTGACCTTAATAGTTTCTTAATTTTCATCTCTTCTTTCATCATAAATGGAAGAGATGGTATATTTGCTTTTTAAATTTTAATTAATACATCTTCAGTGGATGCAGTCTGAGACCATAATGTTAAGTAAAATAAATCAGACACAGGAGCTTAAGTATCATATAGCTTCTCTTGTATGAGAAGCACAAAGTAAATAATTTAACACAAGGCACAAAGATAAATGGGGAGATAGACCTTTTGGAAGTGGAACAGTAAGTATGTAGAGACGGAGGGACGGGGAGGAGGAGAAGAGGAAGGGTTTAAAAAGAATTAAGGTGTGTTAGGTGTGTTACGTGTGCCTGCTCCTTCGGAGGGTAAATATTGTGTACAGCAGACGTACTAATAAAGACAGAGCCGAACAAAACAAAGGGGGCTGATACATTTCCACTCTGGGCCTCGAAAGTCACTGAGCCTCACGCACCCTGCCCTGCCCTGCCCTGGTCGCAGGTGCTCCTCATCGCGCACGTGCCCGTGGGCTACCTGCCCTGCTCCAGCAGCATCACCGCCATGCGGCAGTACTACAACGAGAGGCTGGTGGGGCTGTTCCGGAGGTACAGCGCCGTCATCGCGGGGCAGTTCTACGGCCACACGCACCGGGACAGCCTCATGGTGCTTTCCGACCGAGAAGGTAGGTGGTACGCGGGCCAAGCGAGGCTGTGCCGGTCCTGGGGTCCCCGGCGCCCGAAGTTCAAGGCTTCCTCGTGGACTTTCAGCTCCAGCTTTTTCGGAGTCGCGGTTCCCTGCCGAGTGACCGTGTCCTCCGGAGCTGCGGCCTGGCCCCGGCTCTGCAGGCTCCTCCGCTGCACACGGCCGTCACGCCTGTGCGCACCAAGACTGAAGCGCTCGGCTCCCTGCAGTTCTGCAGACTCCTAGAGTCTTGGTGCTGTTTGTTATTTACCTGCTGCATTCGAGTTTCTTTTCGCTGGACTCGGTGTCGCTCTCCGCATTCAGCACGCCTTTCACAGGCCGTCACATGCGCCAGCTTCCTTGCAGGTGCTCGTTTGCCGAGAAAGAGACGTTCCGGCAAGAAACGGAGAGTTCCCAAAACCACAATTCTGATTTTATAGTAAACCGGAAGACAGTACATGTACCTTTCCTTCAGTAACTGGGGCACCTTTTTGAAATATTTACCCCTCATCCAGATTGGATTGGCCTGGCAAAAAATGACTACTGTTGCCGGGATGTAGCTCAGCCGAGCAGCCCCTGCCTGGTGAGAGCCAGGTCCCGAGTTCGATCCCCGGTACAAAAACAATGATTACTTTTTGGCCCTTGATAATTTTTTAACACAGAAAAATATACTTTGCAATAGATCTTTATATTTTAGGGTGACACATTAACCAAATCCTTACTGTGTACTCTTTGGAATACTGTTTTTGGTAGATGTACAGAATAAGCCAGGTTTTTATTCGTGTGTGTGTACTTGTGATAGACTTGGATTTTTGGAAGTATGAAAAGTTTTAAATACATACATATATATACACACACACACACACACACACATACGCTTTGCAGAGAGAAGGATACAACAAACCCTTATGTACTCATTATTCAGAGTCAGTATCTATCAGTATCAAGATCTCGCCCTATTGCTTTACCCGTCATCTACCTGTGACAAATTTCTATGTCATATGTATGGATATCTGAAGCTTATTATAAAAGGGAATCTCAAAGACCAGACGCATCGTAGCTCTGCATACTTCTGTATTCATTGTGAAAATATGTGAGTAATTTATGTGACTATAATAACATTTCCTTACTCACGAAACCAACAGCAGTTCTGTGTGGTGATAGAAATTCTCTGGTGCAGTTGGATGCGTCTCTTCGAAAGCTCGGAGCCAGGCCCCACTGAGGGTCCCTGCGTCATTTGGTTCTTATGTCTGTTAACCTCTTCCTCTGGAAGCTGTTCCTGTTTTTAATACAACTACACTCAATTAAAATATATATATATTTGCATATGTGTTTTCCAGGACATCCAGTGAGTTCTTTGTTTGTGTCTCCTGCTGTTACACCAGTGAGGAATATTTTAGAAAAAGAAACCAACAACCCGGGCGTCCGCCTCTTCCAGTACAAGCCTGGTGATTACACGTTATTGGTGAGCGGGCATCACTGTGGGGTTGGTGCTGTGGGGCCTTCCCTGGAGGTTTCTCCTCACAGCCCAGGGAGCGGTGCTCTGCACAGGTCTCAGGGCGATGCCCTGCTTTTCTCCTGGAGTCTGTCCATGCTTGGCCAGTGGGGCTGGTGAGGTCCACTTTTGGGAGGCTTTTCTGACTCTCTCCGGACTTCACTCTGATTTAGATGGCATTTAGATGAGCATCGAAAACCTTCAGGAAGCTAGTCTTCTCCAAAGAACAACTCTCCCCTTTCCCCCACCGTGTTGGGCTGTATCACCCAACACTGCCATTTCCCAGGGTAGCCCTTCCTAAACTGCAAATCAGGACAGAACTGAATTCAGGGAGCTGCTGGGAGAATTTGAATGCCTTCAACAAGTCCACGTAATGCATTTATGAAAATGCTTGACCCACACTAAGTGCTTAATAAACGTTTGAAAAAAGTTTTTAAAGAAAAAAATTGAATTGGACACTTGCTTCGGATGCAGAAGCTCTCTGAAGCTTATTCGTGGGTCTGTGCTTTAGAATGATTTAGCATCAAAAGGCTGACCATTTAGATTATAAGAGCCTTAGTCTGGATAACTGCTCTTTTCTGCAAATATAATTTGAAAAGCCTCTGCCTCAGTTAAAGCAATGATTGATTTAACTGCATTTTCCAAAGTAAATTTCACTGAGAGGTGGCTGTCATTCCCTATGATGATGAGAGAAGGAGTGATAGAGGTGGTATTGAACCTCTTTTTCTCTAAAACCAATTTTAAAGCTCATGGTTTTAAATTAAATGTGCTGTATAAATGTTGACAACCCCCCGCCCTTGTGTGATGCTTTCTGTGCCAAGAAGTGACAGGAGCTAGGGCTGTTTGTAACCGCAGGGGATGCTGCAGTATTACTTGAACCTGACCGAAGCCAATCTGAAGGGTGAACCTGACTGGAAGCTGGAGTACAACCTGACTCAGACCTATGGCATTGGAGATCTGCGGCCGCAGAGCTTGTACGGGCTGGCTAAAGAGTTTGCACGCCTGGGCAGCAAGCAGTTCATGAAGTACTACAATTATTTCTTCGTGAGTTACGACAGCAGTGCCGTTTGTGATAAGAAGTGCAAGGCCCTGCAGATCTGCGCCATGCTGAATCTGGATCGTGCTTCCTACTCACGCTGCCTCCAGCTGTACCGGGGAGGGCACGGTCCCTAGTGCGCCAGGCTGTCTGCTGCCAGGGTGACCTTGCTGTTTCCAAGGCCACTTTGTGGGGGACTGTTTGGTAAAATCTTTGTGAATTACCAAGTGAACAAACAGAATCCCTGTCTTTGCTCTGTTCTCTAATCATGCCCATGTATAGATATCTATACAATTCTAAATTTTTGCTATACTGAGTATATCTAGACAGCCCATTCATAGAATTATGTTTGGACGTAAATCTCCTACCTTCCCTTTTATATGATTGTATCTAACTCATACGTCTGTTGAAATTGTTACGTTACTCTTACTGTAAAGCAAAAGACTTCTCTCTAAGCATGACAAGAGTATTTCTGATGTGATAATTTTCAGACTTTTAATTCACGCTTGTTAAAATCTCAGCATAAACTGAGGTTTAGTCTGTTGCCAGCTGAGGTGCACAGCGAGCTCAGCGTTGTTTCCATGCATGGACTCCTCTTGGCTTCTTAGGGCCACTTCTGGGTCTACAGAACATCCCGGGGGGCCCTGCCAGGCCTTGTCATCTCTGGGGCGAAGCACCGCTGACTCTGAAGGCTGAGAACATAGCAAGTTGCATGTAGTGAAACCTCAGCCCCATGCTCTGGACTTCTGCTGGAATTGTGGGCCGAGAGATCCATCAAAGTTAAAACTTAGGCCAGGGATTTGGCTCAGTGGCTCTACTGCCTCCCTCACAAGCACAAGGACCCAAGTTTGATCCCTGGTACAGAAAAAAAAAAAAAAAAAAAACCAAAACAACCCCCCCCAACAATCTCAAATAAATAATGAATGAATGAATGAAAATTCAAACTTGTCACATCTGTGTGAGTGGCTTTCGCAGGCGATGGGTCCATGCCGGCAGCAGAAAGCTGGAACTTCACTAGCTAGCAGTAGGAGCAGTGTGACCATTTCTGGATCTTCTACTTGCTAAGTAAAAGCCATGAGACTTGCTGTCCTTGCTCACCTGCCTCATGTGACCAAGTTGTGAGGGGAGGAGGCGATACTGTTCTGCTAACCATGAGCTGCCCAAAAGTTCTGAGAGGACCAAGTAACTACAGTGATGACTTGGGGTCACTTCATCTCCCTCTCTCTCTCTTTGTGACATTTTACTCAAATTTATGTCCTCACTGCCAAACAGGGTGTTGTTAAGCAGGTTTAAGTGCTTCCCTTAACTGCCACGATAAAATGATACAGACTGGTGACTGACACAAGAGGAAGCTGTTTACTCACAGCTCTGGAGGCTGGAAGGCCAGGGCCAAGGTGCTGCAGGGTTGGTTTCCGGTGAGGCGTCTCTTCCCTGCTCTTGTAGACTGCTCCTCGTTTCAGGTGGAAGCTGCGGCAGGGCGGTAACGCACCTGACACTCGCCACCAGATGGGTCGTGTGCTGCACCCACATTTCAGCCCACAAAGGTGATTCTGGCATTGCCGGAAGGGGACCCGGGACAGAGGTCAGGCTGTCGGGAAGTAAAGCACTGCCGTCCACCCTGGTGTTCCGGAAGGGAGCAGGCTGGCGACCAGCTGTCACCCACAGCGACAGGAAGGTCCTGAGAGTCGGAATCTCAGGCAGAGGCCTCTGAGGCTGCTGCGCTCTCTTCTCTACTTTTTCAGTTGCAGCTAAGCTATGGGACTAGAGGGGAGCACCCAGGGTCGGAACACAGGAGTCACGCACGGTTACGAGTCTCGTCTTTGCTATCATTAGAGGCTCAAGGGGAGCAAGCGCTCCCCAAGAGATGGGGACAGCAGAGTGGAGCTGAAAGAGGGGTAGACAGAGCCGCTCACTCTTGAGTGTGGCTTGGGGGAGTGCAGAGTCTGTGTGCAAACAAGCCCGCGGCTGTGCCTTTGGGCGGTGACTGCTGAGTTCATTGGATGTTCTGGGCACTGTCCTCAGTACCATCGATAGAGCCACGGGCACCAAGGGCTCTGTGCTGGTGAAGTTTGAGCATCAGAGTGGCGCGCGTGTGTGTGTGTGTGTGTGTGTGTGTAGGTCAAAGGTAATACTGATGGCTTTAGCCACATCACACGCAGTCAAATCGGATGTATTAGTTCTACAGAGCCACCTTTCTCCTCCCCGGTGGTTCCACTCCAGGGAGCCAGCTGGGCTCCCACTGTCACAGCACGAAACAAAGGTGCCAGAAACACTGACAGCTTGATGCCAGAGGGGTCTGCTTAGGAAGATGTCGGAGGGTCAAAGATCGCAAAGGTGACAGCTTCGTGGGAAAGCGTGTGAGTATATAGACACGGAGCTGGTTACCAGAGTACGGGAGGAAACAGGTTCTGTGAGTCTCAGAAGATTTAATTATTCCGTGGATAGTGAGGCACCTGTCTGATACTTCAGAACTCTTTTTGGGAGTGAGCCTGGGGCATTTATTCTCTGATTCCCGAGGCCACAGTGGCTGGCGCTGGGAACGATACCACTGTTACGGGGTGGGGTGGGGGTGGGGTGGGGTGCATTTTGTGTTCGGTCAGCACCTGGCTGCCCACAGGTGTTAGAACACCATAGCAACAACCTCAGGTAGTTTCTCTTTGCCTGAACACTCATTAACCACCTTTCCCCTTCCAATCTAGCTAGAATCTTTACCTGAAATCTGTGTGGCTTTTTATTATCTTTGGGGAAGGGTTTAGTAGCAATTATTTTAGAATATTTGGATATTAACATCCTTTTAAGATAAAAGGTTTTAAAATTCAGAATAGCATTGAGGAACTATTTATATTTAATTAGATTTGTTTGCTTTACCAGAAAGAATAAAAAATCCTTTGGAATCTTCATGCTTTAGAGGCAAAAGGGATACAACTGTCAATAAGAGCACATTTAAGATGCTATTTGTCTTCCTCACTAATTAATTTCAAATATTAGCATCATTACTAATATCTATAAATGACTCATTAAGGAAATTGAGGTTGTTAAATAAAACTGTGTAGCATTTTTTTTTTTTGTACTGGGGATCAAACTCAAGATCTTGCTCTTTTGAGGCAGGCAGCGGAACCACTGAGCTAAATCCCTGGCCCAAAACTGTGCAGCATTTTATAAATTTCCTGGATGTATTTTGAAAATGGTTCTGTTATCATTGTACTATTTCAGAAGCATTGTCCACGTTATTTCTGGGCAGAGCTGGCTCAGAAGGGTTAGGTGAACTGCTCAAGGGAAATCTCTAACTAAGTGAAGAAGCGGAAACTCACACCCACCGACTTCCGGTTCAGAGCTGCTCACTCTGCCGCTCTAGGCCTCTGGGGGAGGAAGCGTTCGCCTCCGCGCTGCCCGTGAGCTAGAATATGCTGTACTGGGGCTGCGTGGTGTTTCCTGACTTGCTTCTCTTAAAACTTTTGTTTTATGTTTTAGTTCCTTTTTCTCTTGACCAAGATCTAATTTACGAATAATTCAAGAACCAGCCTATCCTCTACCCAATACTTCAGGGTAGACAAAAATGTAACTTTTGAAATATGAGATAACTTTTGTAATCTTGATTTTGGTGTATTCAATGGATAATTACTTTAAATATCTTCATCTTCTGACTTCTGTTGTGTACTTTATTAGGCTGGGTGATTATTCCCTCGCATAGTCTATTAAACTTCTGTTTATACAAAGCTAGTTCCGGAAGACACAGACACTCCAATCTGTGGAGTGGTTTCCATGTTTCTGAACTGGTGGTACTAAACGTCTAAGGGACCCCAGAGCATTCATCTTTGGACAAACATCCACCAGTCCCTTGTTCGGGAAGGGAAGAGTCTTACAACTGTATGGGGAATGAGAAAGGATTGTACTGGGAAAATATAACCATATATGGTTTATATCATGTCTCAGAACTTTCTTAGGAAGCTTAAATAATAGCAACTACTACTACTATTACTGCTACTGCTATAATGCGTGCGTGCGTGTGCACACACACATACACACAGTCAGTAGAGTACTCATAAGAGGAAAGGCTTTTCATTCAAAGATATGAGAGTGGAAAACAAATATATCTTATTTCCCAATAAATCAATAAATCACATATTTGATAAAATTGTATAGATGACTTCCAACATACCTAAAGGCATAAAAGAGAAAAATGACAAAAATCCAAAATTAAAGTTTCCTCTGACATAGTTTTTTCGAAAGATATGAAAATGATTTTTTTAGCCAACACATCAGTAATAATTTTGAGCAAGTATCATAAATGGATGTTAAAACTATTGGGTAAAAGTCTTCAGAGGAACAATAAATTGTAATATTTCACCGCATCTCTACAGATCAGAAACTGATTGCAAAAATTAAAATGTAACTTTAAGGTAGAGAAGCTTGCTAGATGCCACCTTGCTAGATGAACACCTTAAATGTTCATAATTAATGTCACTGTCAGTGAGACACACAGCTGAGGCTGCTGTTATGATGTATGAATAATATACTACTCATGTCTAAAATGCATAAAACATACATTTAAGGAAATAGCAGACATAGACACACTGAGGACATTCCTACAAAATATCTTCCCTCTGATCTGCAAAATGGATCATGTCATAAAAGCAAAAGAAAAAGTAAGACAGATTAAGGAATTATTCTGACTTATGGGAGACTAAGAAATCTGACAAATAAATGCAGTGTGTAATCCTGGGTTGGAATAAAAAATTTCCACAAGAAATGTTAGGATAATTAGTGGAAATCAGAAATATGTATTGTATAATATTGTATTAATAAAGCACGTACACTCCTGTGTACACAATACACACGTGCATATACAAGTTACATGTAGTATAATAAAATCTTTAAAGATAAAACCTGGAGAAGTTCATTAAAAAAAACTTACATACTTAAAAAAATGAATCAAAAAATTAAAAAGTGAATTTGAAAAAGCTGTGAAAAAACTAGGAATTATTAAATCACTACAGCTGTTTTTTTCCTCCACTCTGTGGCTCAGAACAGGAACCAGACTTGTGTGGCTTTTGAAATTTACACTCCTTTCACTGCAGCAAACTCTCTAAGATGTCCGTATTTTCACTTTGGTGTCATAAGCTATTTCTTAGTTGGTTTAAATAGCTTAGGAAATGGCACATAGAAAGCAACTGTCTTCTTAAAGAGTTTTCTTCTCTTGCTGTCCTCTGTTTTGTACAAACTGTTTTATCTCTATAACAAGGAAGCAGAGGATTTCACAGAGCGTGGTCTGGTTGCCTTTCCATGGTCCCCATTCACACTGTGAGATTTTAGTGTGGTCTTGAGGCTGCCCCAGCCACCCGGCCCTTGTCACTCAAGAACAGCGGGATGGCCGTGCTCACTCTCGCTGCTGACATGCCCCGCGGTGATCCCTCCACTGAGGTCTCTGCAGGGTAGAAAGCCTCTGCTCCTCCAAACGGCCAAGGTGAAGAGCTTCCCGATTGTTCTTTCTACTTTCCCACAGCTGTTTTTAGTTACTTTCTGAGCTTTGAAAATGGATAACCTTGCTTAGCATGGCTCTCTTCCAGTTCAGCGTCTCTTTAGGCATTCTGGTCTCTATAAAAATGGTCCGGAAGAAAACATTTCATTTGGCCCCATTAATTCAGCAGTGCATTAACCAAAAGTAAATGGCCATGAGCTACACTTTCCTGGGACAGAGGACTGCTTCTCTTAGCTTGCTTGGACGTTTGGGAGAGAAAGAAATATAAAGGTTTCTTTTGTGTATGTGATT